ATAATGTGCTTCAGCTGTCGTCTTTCGCTCAAAAAAAATTTCGTAGTTGTCGTCAGCCGACGCCAGCTATGACGCGGCCAATCAATCCATCCAATCCAAGCCTCAAAATTAGCTTTGAATTCCGAAAAGGGGGGAAGTTTCGCACGTTTTGTTTTGTGCATAAAAAACTCACCTACCCACCCCCATTTATCTTCTTCAATTCCAGTCTTCTCATCTCCGTTCCAGCTGCGCTTTTTCCTGGTTCATCTCCGACAACAGATCTCTACCACAGCTAAGTATTCTCATCTCTCTCTCTGTCTAGCTTCTCAATCCCTTTCTTCTTCGTTGGCTCTTGACTTCGGTCCGCTTCCAAGCTCGCGTCTTTGATAATCAGATATTCGGAGATCTAGGGTTTCAGGGTTCCTAACATAAGTTGATTCGGTTTGATTTGTGGTTTAAGAGAAATAACCTCAATGATTTCGGAATTTTTTGATCCCTGCCAACCCCATGCGTCGAGTTCGTCTGCTGCACTCGTTCTCTGTTGTGTTTCTATACTGGTTCTACGTTTTCTCATGAATGATAACTTCTCTGGTCGATCACTTGTGCTCTAACCATTAGATCTGTAAAATCCTATTTCCTTCATTTTTAACCATCATCCAATCAAGTTTGTCATCACCGTGCCTTAAGACGATGGCCTCGATTCAACGCACTGCAAGCTCGGGATCCGAAGGCGTAGTAGACCCCCGATATGCCGGCTTCGATGAGGAAAGAGGAAGAGGATGCTTTCCAACCGTGAGTCGGCGCGGCGATCCCGCATGAAGAAGCAAAAGCAAGTCGAAGATCTTTCAAGCGAAATTGGCCGACTTAAGGCTGAAAACGGTCGGCTATTTGAGAGCATAAAGGCCAAGGAAGAAGCACACGTTGAGATCGAATCCGTTAACAATGTTTTGAGGGCTCAGACAACGGAGTGACCGATCGACTGCGGTTTCTGAACTCGATCCTTGAGATCGCTGAAGAGGTCAGTGGGCTTTCTGTTGAAATCCCTGAGATACCGATGCTCTCTTCAACCCATGGCAGCTTCCTCTTCCAATGCAGCCGATCATGGCGTCCGCGGTCGACATGATAATGCATTGATGTAATAGAAGCCTTTCATATTCCTGCTCCGTCCTTCTCTGTATGGTGGGTTTGAGTATAGTTAAACTATGTCTAATAGGTTTGCTGGTTTCCTCTGTCTCTGTGGGGGCATCGTCTATTGTCTGTTTTGAATTATTGAGTGCTTTTGTCAGACTTAAACGGTTCGTGTTTCGTGTAGATTGAATTGAATGGAGTGGTTAGTGCTTTCGTGTTTGTCTTCTAATAAATGGCTTTGTCTTCTTTAATCTCCGCATTTGTCTATTTCGGCGATTGTTCCAAACGATTGCTATCCTCATTATTCACTATGGTTATCGTGCAAGGTCGTAAGTCGTGACTTTCGGACTATTTGATTCTCGACGCTTTGAGTGAGTAAACTGACCACGAATTGGCGGCACCTGTAATCTTTTCGACTGAGATCGAAGCCATTTTGTATTAATTAAATAATTACAAGAGCAGGGTACCTGATCTCTCTCTTTAATTTGCTTTAATTGTGTTCACTTAAAAATTGTGTGTCTAATCTTACCTCTCGCGAGAATATCTTAAAAGACTCCGACCTAACATTCCTATTTATGATCGAAGAGCGATATTAAAATGAATTATTTGCTGATTTACTCTCATGTGTATCACAATCCACCGGTCCCTGATTCTCACGGGCGAAGTTTGGGAGTTTAGGTAGGAAAGAAAGAAGGTTCCCGTGCGGGTCAGGGGATCGCGGAGATGACATCGAGAGAAGTCTTTATATGGCATGCGTGTCGCTTTGAGGAAGGTTTCCCGGGTTGTAGGATATCTCCCCGCCATATGAACTGTTTGGGTAGAAACCAATTTAAAAATAATTTTATAATATACGAAATAAATATATTAAAAGAATTTTATATTAATTTCTATAAAATCACTTTTTTAAATACCTGACACGAAAAATCCCCTAAATTTCAATCTCCTTTTCCTAAACAGTTGGCATTTAAAATGATATAAAAAAATCACAGATAAAAACCCATATACAGAAAATCTTTAAATGAATTATAAATACACTTCTAAGGCAAAAAAAGGAAAACTAAAATCTATTAAACTACACAATAATATGAAATCGTGGTTTGCCAAAACGTGAATTTCAGCAACATGTAAAGTCTCGCCTGAAATGATGAAAACACGTTTTATATAAATCAAAATAATTTTTTTTTATACTTATCCCATATTTTATAAATAATAATTTAAAAAATTATTCTAAGTCATCATCGAGAATCAACCGGCTGTCAAAGAATTTATATCCCATGCCACGAGGGTGTACAAAAGAAAATCCTAAACGTGCACACGTTAGGGAATACGTTTCAGTCATTGATGATCCCAGCCAGTAGATCATCATGATCAGGTTCTGGATGTTGGAAGCTGCAATAAAACATTAAACCGATTTTAGAATCACCGAACACAGTAGGCCGAAATGGAGGCGCCTCATTAGGCCTTGACAAGACGAAACTTTAGCAGAGGCTTGAGGCTAGTCATTAACCATCCAAGGACGTCCGCGCTATAACTAAATCGCTCAAGGGATATGCCCAAGATTCCGCGCGCGAAACAATATCATGACATCCAGATATCGAACTATTAATCAGATTCAGATCCAATATCAACGACGGAAAAGAACTATTAATCAGATCCAGGAAACTCAAATAAATAAACAAACTTCGGGCTTTACTTTTTGAAATTAAAAAGGCCTTTTCACTTTGTATGTATGGTGACGAGGGGGGCGGTTCGCTTTGGGGATCACGCTTGGTTCAGAATTAAATATTTAAACATGGCAGTTCATTCATATAAGATAACATAGAATGCTAGAAAGTAAAAACACACTTTTTAACAAATTTTGATATCAGCCCTCTCAGTTATCATATGTGCGGCACTCGTTGGTCTCTGGGTTGTCCTTGCAGTAGTTCTCCAGTGGGTCCGACTCCTTCTTTCGGTCCCTGGCATGGCTGGCCGCCGCGCTTAGCTCCTCCACTTCATCCCAAGCCGCCACGCACTCACCGCTCGCTGGGTTGTCTGAGCACGTCTCCTCTGCCTTCTTTATGCTCTCTTCCACCTTCTCCGATATACGATCAGGTGCTGCACGCACAGGCCGAACTGCCATCATGCGCCCCGACCCGAGTCTTTGGCCTGGATGCGCCGGGAATTTGACCGCTTGGGCCTTTTGTGATTCCGATGCCCTAGCCAAAAACCCAAGGCCCGAAAGGCTCAGACCAGTTATGGTTGCCATTTCTCCTTCTCCTCCTCCTCTCGTTACCTTCTGTATTCCCCCCGGATCGGTGCCGTGAATCAAAATAAGATAAGTTCGATTTAGGAACGGGGACTAAGAAGTGAGAAGGTATATAAACGATCCCAGTGAAGATTTGTGTACACATATTTCTTATCTGATGGCAACCAATGCTAAGCTTCCACGTCGAAACCACCCTGAGATATTTTGCATTAAAAAATAGAAGAGAGAATCTATTTTTGCTCTTCCTTTTATCCAAATGGCACTTTGACAATGAGATCAGGGGTCTGGCATCTGCAACTTCAGCCGTTGGATCTCGATGGGACATCAGAAAAATCGTAGTGTTTTGCTCTTGCACCAAGTTTCAAGGCCTAGCCTAGCCACGCCGCTTATGCTCACAGTCATACTCTCGCAGCATCCCTCTCTTGCTTTTTCTCATCTCATTCTTATCTTTAGATTAAAAATTGAATATTTAAAAGAAAAGTAATTTTAGGCACTCAAGTAAGGAATATAATCTCCAAACACTCGTATATAGGCTGCTCTTCATGAGGGGAAGGTGTCGACACTTGACCCGAAATAATATAGTATCCGTTTTCAGACCAATTCAAGGATTCGAAAAGGAGAAGGGTATCCATTTTTCCTCCTTGAAAAAGCCGGAGGTAATATAATTTGTAGTTTTTTAACCTCGTCTGTTAAATTTTAAACTATAAATTTTGGTTATTAAAAAAAAAAACCGAGAACAGGCATGAGATCGGCCCGGACATAGTAATAATGTAATAATATATTCCCTTTACAGTCGTTAAATAATGCCTAATAACCAAAAAAAACCGAGAACAGACATGAGATCGGCTCGGACGTAGTAATAATGTAACTAATATATTCCCTTTGCGGTCGTTAAATAATGCTTTTTTCCTCTCAAAAGGGAAAAGGATAACATGATTGGCAGCCCCACTTGCCAGCAAGCTGCAAAAGTGCACAGTCTTTAAAAATATCGAGCAGGAATAAAATTTTCCTCTCTCATGATGCGACTTCACAAAGTATACCATCGCCTTTCTCTTCTCAACTGCTCCCCAATCTCTTTGCTTTCCAATCCTTGTATTCTTCCTTTAATTCCTCCATATTCATCACGACTCAGATTTCCTCGCAGAATCGCCGCTAATTTTACTAGCATCACCTCAATGGGTTGCTCCCGGTTTCGCAATATTGCTCCTCTTAGTGCTATGGTTACTGAAGATGGTGGGGGCGGAAACTCGAATGCTCCTGGTTCTTCCTCTACCGCCACCTTTGATGACGAAGGTAAGCTGAGAAGGGTTTGTTTCTATTTTTAATAACAGTTTCGCCGATGTTTTGGTCTTCGAATGTGAGAAAGTTGCTGTATTGGTTGACTTTCCCTGAAAAAACACCTTAGTCTGGAAGCGGGTAGTATCCCTGAAAACTAAATTTGTTAATTCCATGCATGTTGCAGTCAAAAGATCGAAAAGAATACTACTTCTGCATCAGTTCAATCATCTCTCCGAAATTGTGTATATTATAAGCTTGTCCTGTTTTTGTAATGGAAACGTTGGAGCTGTAATAAGAACAATCGATTTCACTGCTGTACTGTGATGACTAAATTGAATATCCTTTTCTGTCTTAATTCATTATTTGTGAACCGGCAATATTTTTCTCATTAAGAGTCATATATATCTTCTGTGGTTAGCATTGCTCTATGCACATCTAACTTTTTGAGCTCAGTATTGGATATGAATACAGTTCTCTAACTCACAATGGCGTGCGTGTTCTTATTTATACCATGATAATGTCTCTAATTGCTGGGAACTATGTTGATTGGTTTTTATTAGAAGAGTCAACCGTTGGAGTAGCATATCGTGTTCCTCCACCTGAGATCAAGGATATTGTGGATGCTCCCCCCCTGCCTGCCTTGTCATTTTCACCGCATAGAGACAAAATTCTATTTCTCAAGCGACGATCTTTACCACCACTGACAGAACTAGCAAGACCAGAGGAAAAGTTGGCTGGTATACGCATTGATGGAAGCTGCAATACTAGGAGTCGCATGTCATTTTACACTGGCATAGGGATCCATCAAATTCTTCCCGACAACACATTAGGGCCAGAGCTAGAAGTTCATGGTTTCCCTGATGGTGCGAAGATCAACTTTGTTTCTTGGTCTCCTGATGGCCGGCATTTATCCTTTAGCATTCGTGGGAATGGGGAGGATGATGAGAGTAGTAAACTCAGAGTATGGATTGCTGATGTTGAAACAGGGAAAGCAAGACCTTTATTTCTGTCGCCTGACATATGCTTAAATGCAGTTTTTGACAATTATGTATGGGTAGATAACTCCAAACTGTTAGTTTGCACTATTCCGATGTCTCGTGGAGCTCCACCGAGGAAGCCTTTGGTCCCTTTTGGCCCTAAAATTCAGTCTAATGAAGAGAAGAGCATTATTCAAGTAAGAACTTTTCAGGATTTGCTGAAGGATGAATATGATGAAGATTTGTTTGACTACTATGCAACCTCACAGTTGATTTTAGCTTCCCTGGATGGTACAACAAGTGATATTGGCCCACCAGCTGTTTATACTTCAATGGACCCATCCCCAGACCATAAATACATTTTGATTAGTTCAATTCATAGGCCATACTCTTTTATCGTACCTTGTGGAAGATTTCCAAAGAAGGTAGATTTATGGAGCGCTGATGGAAAATTTGTTAGGCAACTTTGTGACTTACCCTGGCCGAGGACATCCCAATTGCCTTCAACAGTGTACGGAAAGGGATGCGGTCAATTAACTGGAGAGCTGATAAGCCGTCCACACTTTACTGGTACGCATCCGAATTTTTGGCTATATTTTCTGGTGGGGCATGAACATTTGAACCGTGACAATTACTGGATTGAATTTTACGCAAATCACATGCACTTTGCTGATAAATGCCATTTAATCAACTATTTGCAATTTCTTGAATTATTTTTCCTCAAAATTTTTAATTGCTGAAAACAATTATCCCGAGAGTGCTTTCAGTGTGGAAAGCTCAGAATGCTCTGAGATGCCCAAGGGAAAAGAAAAAGATCCAGAGGATGAACTTTCGACAACTAATTTACTAGTGGATAGTTCACTGCTATTTGTAACCTTCTTGGACCTCTGTTCACTGCTATACTTAAATTTTACTTTATTCAAGTATGCCGTGCAATTGCTTTTCCCCTTTATATACATATATTGGTTTCAAATGCAACCATAGGGCACATAAAAAAAAAAAAATCAATATATGTTTTTACTGTTTTGCAATTCTCTTGGGCTTCTATAATTCTATGGTTATTTTCCTGGGGAAAAAAAACTGGCATGTGATTTCTTTTGAGTAAATTATTTCATTTGAGGTCTCTAGGGTAGAAACACAAGATGGAGGTGATGCGAAGGTGGAGGTTTCTCCACGAGATATAATTTACACACAACCTGCTGAGACACTAGAGGGTGAGCAGCCAGTTCTACTGCACAAACTTGATCTCCGCTATGGGTATGTTCATGGTCTACATTGACTTCTCTTTATTGGTGTCTCCATGTCTTTGCCATAATATTGACATTATTGGACCATTTTCCCTAGTCAATCAACCGATTAGCATTTCATGTATGCTACCAAAGGCTGTAATTGACCTTATTTTCAGGGAAGTTATTGAACATTTTTCAAATTATCAATGCTCAGATTGTGCATGTAAAATTAGCATGCACTTTCTTATCTGATCAATAAACTTTTTGGCAAAGAATGCGTGCTAGTTAATATGAGCATTATGTCTATCACATGTCTTTGGCATGCCTGTAGCAGTTGTTAGGGAAGTTCCTTTCCATATTTAAGGTTAACTCATCAGTTTCTGTTGTCTTAATCGTGTGATTTGTGTTGGGGAAAACCTGAAATAGTGGTTGATGTACACTTTTTCAACTCTACAGAGGGATTTCATGGTGTGATGATTCTTTGGCTTTGGTATATGAATCATGGTATAAAACACGACGAACGAGGACATGGGTCATCTCTCCTGGAGATGATGATGTGAATCCCCGCATCCTATTTGATAGATCTTCAGAAGATGTCTACTCTGATCCTGGCTCTCCCATGCTGCGGAGAACTCAAGCTGGGACATATGTTATTGCCAATGTAAAGAAAGGAAGTGATGAAGGAAGATATGTTTTACTAAACGGAATTGGTGCTACGCCAGAGGGGAACATCCCATTCCTGGATCTATTTGAAATGTAAGTGTCTTACTTCATTTGTTTCCTGTATGTTATTTTGGCTTCTTACTTAGGTGTTGTGGTCTAAACCAAAACCTTACAGAAATACAGGTAACAAAGAACGAATCTGGGAGAGTGACAAAGAAAAAATTATGAGACTGTTGTTGCCCTAATGTCTGATCAGGAAGAAGGGGATTTGCATCTAGATCAACTTAAAATACTGACTTCAAAAGAGTCAAAGACTGAGAACACTCAGTATTACATTTTCACCTGGCCAGATAAAAAGGCATATCAGATTACAAATTTCCCTCATCCATATCCTCAGCTTGCATCATTGCAAAAAGAGATGATCAGATATCAAAGAAAGGATGGGGTTCAACTTACAGCTACATTATATCTGCCACCAGGCTATAATCCATCAACAGATGGCCCTTTGCCATGTCTGGTTTGGTCATACCCTGGGGAATTTAAAAGCAAAGATGCTGCTGGACAAGTTCGTGGTTCTCCTAATGAATTTGCTGGGATAGGTCCTACATCAGCCCTTCTTTGGCTGGCCAGAAGGTGTGGATTGCCTTTTCCTATTCTTGTGTGCTTTAATTCTTTCTAATTCAGTGTTATTTTCTCTTATTTGAAAGTGAATTGTGGCATGAGCTGGATTTTTCTTTGATTACTTTAAATCTTGCAGATTTGCCATTCTATCTGGACCTACTATTCCTATTATTGGTGAGGGTGATGTGGAGGCAAATGATACGTAAGTGAATTGTTATTGCCAAGTGATGTTTACCCTATGTTTATCACCAACATGTTCTTAAAGACCATTAGGGATCTTCTCTGGGAGGATCAATGCTTTGAGTGCTGTGGTCATTGGTCTTGTCCTCATTTTTCTTTATTCCATAAATTTTTAGTTTCAGATATTTGAATTCTCATGTATCTCTTTGTATTTTGTAAATCCTTAGAATTATATCTGATTATAAACTGTGTATTGATCAATCAGGTACGTAGAACAATTAGTTGAAAGTGCAGAGGCTGCTGTGGAGGAAGTTATCCGGCGAGGGGTATGCTTTATTCTTAATGTATAGTATTTATCAAGAGATTTCAAAGTATGGTTTAAGTCAAACCTATTCACGTTGTCACATCTAGGTAGCTCATCCAAAAAGAATAGCTGTTGGTGGACATTCCTATGGCGCTTTTATGACTGCTAACCTCCTGGCACATGCCCCTCATCTCTTCTGCTGTGGAATTGCTCGGTCTGGTGCTTACAACAGAACACTCACTCCTTTTGGTTTTCAGGTAATATACTGCAAACAATGGCTTGATTTTTGGTTCCAGTGGTTAAGGGCATATTTGGTTCACATTATTATTTGATCAATAATGGAATGACTATTGCTATTTCAGTGTTTGGTCGAGCTAGGGATGGAATGACATTGATTCCGTTCCCCTCATATGTATCGTACATGGTATATTTATGAGAGAAAATAATAATTATAATGAATAAAGATAAGTCAGAAAAAAAAATGAAAATAGACCCTGGCCCCTGAATGGAACTGTCAATCCGTGTCTTCTTTCCCAACAAATCATGGAATCCTCATTCCAGTGGGATTGAGACAAGAATGAAATCGTTAATTTGTGGATCAAATGTAAGATAAGTAGTATAAATTGAGGTTTTAATATGATGATCATGTTTTCGTTTTATCACACCTTATTCTCTAGCACCAGATGTCACTGTACTGTTCTTTGCAGAATTTGAAGGCCATGGTCTTATGTTTCATTTCCTTTCTGTAGAACGAAGACAGAACTCTTTGGGAAGCCACTAATACTTATGTAGAGATGAGTCCTTTCATGTCAGCTAATAAAATTAAGAAGCCCATCTTACTTATGCATGGGGAAGAAGATAATAATCCAGGAACATTAACCATGCAGGTAAGATAGCAACTGTTATCAATCAACCTTCCTAACAGGTTACCTGTAATTTACTTTCCATGTGGGCCATCCAACTAACTTGTTTCCTCCCCACTTGTAAATACTTTCTGGTTATGCAGTCAGATAGGTTTTTTAATGCTCTGAAGGGCCATGGTGCTCTATGTCGACTTGTGATTCTGCCTTATGAAAGCCATGGTTATTCTGCCAGAGAAAGCATCATGCATGTCCTCTGGGAAACAGATAGATGGCTGTATAAGTACTGTGTATCCAACAGTTCTGATGCAGATGAAGATCATGGCTCTGGCGCAGTCGAAGGAAATGCTGACAAAGGTAATAAAGACTCTGAAAGCAAGGTGGTTGTTCCCAGCGGAGGTGGTAGCACAGAAGCATATGATCTCAAGTATGAAGGACTCCACTCTATGCCAAGGTCGTCATTGTGGTAAACAGCCCTGTTAATATATATATATATATATATATATATAAAGTAATTAAGCACCATTTATTGGAACTTGAGATAAAGATATTTTGATATGATAATTTTGCTATCAGTAAAATACTCAAATGACCTGGACATCCTTGCAGCCTTATTTAAAGTGCTATAGATAATATCTTATACTTTTCCAGATTAGATACATGTTCAATGAAAATATCCTGGACAATAATAGAACAAACTATAGATTATGCTTGGTGCGGTTATTTTCATGGTGTAGAAGAGACGGCTAATTTTTGGCTGCCAAGGTGAAGCATTGGAATGATAAGCCCGAGCAACAAGATGCTTCCATTGAGCATGCAACGGCGTCAAGTTATGACAGAGGCGGACATGGGGAGTATGAGAGGTGTAATTGCACTCCATCACCATCAATCAGGCAATCCCTTGAAAGCATTCATCACAGGCACAAATTGATGGTGTAGTGGATTCGCCAGGATTTACCTCTCTATCACTTTTCCCCCCGGAATGGTCCTTAACCAAATAATTTAAATATGTTATGGGAATAACTGAACTCTTATTCCTCCTTTGCAAACTATATTCTGATGGGGAGTAAGTAACCTTGTAAGTCTATTCTAAGGCTGATCCAGAAGTTTCTATCGTACTGGCGCCTGCATGGTTGTCTTTTACAAACATTCTCATTTGGCTGACGTCAATGTGTCTCTGGAGATTAAAATCAAAATAGGATTTGCCCCTTATTCAGAAGGTGTCCTCTGGGTAATCAACCGGAGAGTCAACAGCAGTGGCAGAAACTGACTCTAAAACATGAAGACGAATGGACAGTCAATAACCATCTGGATTCATTGCATGGAGGGACTGTTCGTAACGCCCTGCGCATTTAATTTTAAATCTGAAGTTGACTAATTGACTCTTGATGAATTAACTGGGTAACAGTCATGTCTTAGAAGGTCCTAAAATATTATGAAGGGAAATGAATTGCAATTGGCCGTTTTGGTAGTAATTGCTCGGTAGATATTTACAACTAGTACATGTTTTTAAACTTAATTGTCATTAAATAAATTGATTTATTGAGACATGACCCCTTTTTTAAAAGAATGCTCATGGCGTTGGCACTTGGCAGACACACAAAAGGCTGGAGTGGATAGCCCGCGTCCGTTTTTTAATTCCGAGTACGGAAGCCCATGCTTCGCTTATAGCATCAGATTTTCGCGAGCAAACACGGCCTTATATCCCCATAATTCATCCGGGTCTGTGGTTACTGCAGCAGGGGATAATTATCGACTTGGGTGGATGGCGACGTTGGTAATCATTGTTATTGTTGAAGAAATTTGTCAATGGCTTCAGACAAAAATAAAAAAATTATTGATATTGATATTTTCCCATCAAGATAATTACCAGATTGTCTTTGGATGCATCGTGTTCCATGGGTGGAATTTGTTTATTCATTCATTCAATCCTCGCTATTCAATTTTTTAGTCAAATGCATCCGCCAAGGACCACCACTCATCTGAAATAGGTACATGTGTTTTCTTGAAATTTAAGAATAAACGACAAACGCTCCAACGTCCAAGCTGTCAGGGATCTTCCGTTTTCCCGACCGCTCACCAGATTCACGAGATTTTTCCCTTCCATTTTTGTTCGGTTTTTCTTTTATGACGCTTCTTTATATGCCATGCACCCAGAGAATGGATCTGTTTCCCTCACCCAATTTTTCCAACCAAAAATCAAGTTTCCTCTCAGAATCAATGAATTTCTCCGTCGTTGCAACAACCCCACTTAAATTTAATTTAATATTACTATTTGTTGGACTTTTGTTTTTAGCATCCACGGCTCAAATATTCCAGCCAATTCCCGTTCTTGACCGCGCTCTCAGTCTTACCCACAAGCCTTCTCTCTTTTTTCTCTGTCTAGCTCTGATGGCTTCCTCGAGGCTTTGCTCCCCTAAATTTCTAGTCTTCCTCCTGCTCCTCTCAGCCATACCGATCGGCATAATCATCTCCCTGGAGCTAGCAAAACCCCCCACTCACGTGTACCATTACCACAGCACGGGGTGGTTTAGAGAGTGTGGCAAGTGGGATGAACAAAATCGGCGCTTCATCGTGACTTTCTTCGAAGGAGGAATCGGTCAGATTCCGGTGACGGGAGCGGAGGGCGAGGTATTAGAGGAGATACCGGTGGTCAAAGACATCGACCTGGCTGGAAACGCATCCCTCGGACTCGTCATCGACCGGCCGAGGAACCGGCTGCTGGCAGTTCATGCAGACGCAATGGGAAATCGGTACGGGGCACTTGCGGCCTACGACTTGTCAACTTGGAAACGATTGTTTCTGACCCAACTCAGTGGCCCAAGTAAGCTTTCATATTCGTGTCTTTGTCGTTTCCATTCTCCATTTCCCCGCCTCCATCTTCTAGGTGTTTGATATTCTAACTTACGAGGTTTTGATTGTTACACACACACACACTTCCTCCCATCCTAAATATAAATCTCATTTTGTCGATCCTAAATATAACACTCATTTAGGATCGGAGGAGTATTTGCCAGTAATGTGTCGGAATAATTGAGTATTAGGACTAATTTATGGCTATTGGGTAAAAACAAGTGAGTTCTAAGGTTAGAAAATATCAATGATTAAGTTTATGACCGCATTGACCATAAAAAAGCAGTCTAAATAATTCAAAAAGATTTTACTGGTAAAAAAAAAAAAACCTACATTTGTTAGCGCTTTGCCCTTTTGGTGGAGCAACTAACATTAAATTGTGTTAGCTTTAAGTTTGGTGTGCGACAGCTGGTAGTCTACCAGGTTCAGACGCTGGTTAATCTTGCTTTTGGAATCATTGCTGCTACATATATACAGTCTTCTCCACTAATGAATTTTCGGGAAATGGCTTCTCCACATTTGTAATCCGAACAGTTATAGCAAGATTATTAACATTCCCTAGTTAGTCTGTTATTATTAATGACATAATTTTTCTCCATGGCATGTAGGCGACGAGAAGTCATTACCAGATGATGTTGCAGTGGATGCAGAAGGCAATGCTTATGTAACAGATACCAAAGCCAGCAAGATCTGGAAGGTTGGGGTGGAAGGGAAGCTTCTATCAATCATAAGAAACCCACTATTTGTTGCAAAAGAATGGTACAAGAACTTGGTTGCGCTGAATGGCATCGTTTACCACCCAGACGGATATCTGATAGTGATTCACACACTTAGCGGCAACTTGTTGAAAATTGACCTGTCAGGTGGCAAGGAGGAAGTGAAACTAATAAAGGTAGAGGGAGGGCCACTTACATTCGGAGATGGCCTAGAACTAGTGTCCCCTACCAAGGTGGTGGTGGCCGGGAATCCTTCAGGTAGATTAGTGGAGAGTTCTGACGGCTGGGAAACAGCTTCTGTGGCAGCGACATTCCGGGGGCTTAAGCATCGGTTGGCCACTGCGGCCACCGTGAAGGACGGCAAGGTGTATCTCAACCATATGATCGGAATGGGCTATCCTAAAAGGAAGCATGCTTTCGTTGAGGCACAGTTTTAAAAGAGAGAAGAGAAATCACTGCTCTATGCTCTGAATTTCAAACGCTAAAGAAATCTGTCGTACTTTTGGCAAAAAAAAAAAAAAAAAAAAAAAAAGAAATCTGTCGTACTTGTATGATGATCATTTATTTTGATTTTGGTTGTATGGTTGGTGGGTCTGTGCTCGTCAATCATTTGTGCTGGTGTTCAGGACACACAATTTAATTTTTATCCTTGGAGTGACTGATCATTGACCCTACTGGTTGTGTTTGCTGCAATTTCCTTTCTGCTATTGTCTGCATTAAATTCGGATGACGGTGAACGAGAGGAAGCTGCAATGGTAACCCCACTTGAGAATGTTTCCTTTTGCCTGTGGCCTGTGGGGACCAACGATTATGTGACTAGAAGGCTCACCAAGCGGGGACTTTTGTTTTTCTTTTATCTCTTATGTGGACGAGGGGATAAATGGGCCTACGATTGCAATCCAGTGCTCGTGGGCTTTTAAGTTAGTCGTCTCTGTTACTCTGGCTTTTGTCCACTCAAGTTGTTGGATTTTTTTAGTCAGTGTTGAGCCGAAATAGTAGGAAGTGGGAAGGGGGAGCTGTCGTTGGGTTTTTTTAATCTTCTGGGGCACGAGGACAGTTAATGCATGCCTCCGGGTGAGGGGACCACTCAGATGGTTGAAGTAGGGGGGTGGAGTTATTAAGTCTAAATTTACACAGTGATAGTAGTAGTAACCCTTAGACATTCTAGGAAATAGCAACACGGACAACAACAGAACAAAACAACGGGGACGGGGAATGATGTTTTCTAGTTTTTAATAAATCATAAATATAGTCACGCATGGGGAAGGAAACCTCGAATGAATGATGATATCCGGAGAAACGCTAGATTTTGACTGCCCACTTTTGACCCCATTTTACGGGCTTCTCCAAAACATCCCGATACGGTGTTTGCTCACCACATCAATTCACACACACCAAGACTCTAAGCACCTGAACTGTGCCCTTGTGATTCGCTTGTGAGAAGAGAGAGCTAAAGAATTATATTAACTTCCAAGTAGAGGGAGGTAAAGAATTTTACACCGACATGCGTAACTAATAATGTGATCATGAGCGGTCACCTATGTACTATATATAGTGCTGAGGTATTATTTTAGTCTCCTGTCTAACGAATAAAGGTATTCTCGCTGGCCACTTCATTCACATCTAGTTTTAAAAACTGATCAGGACTAGGAGAGCCCTAATTTGAACCCAGCGTCCGGCCAAAGAGATGAAAAAGAGGGGAATCCGATGAGGCATTTCACAGACCATAAATGGATAAGTATTTCAGTCCTCATCCGTGGCAGATGAACAGCGTCATCTTTTTTAAAGGAAAAGCCAATCCTAAAAATGCTTGTAAGATTAAAAAAAAATGTATTTTTACCCAAAAGAAAAAAGTTGGGGCGGGAGGGACAACTTCTCCCGTGCGCCAGAAGACATCATTTCAAGGCTCTTCTCCCGAGCAAATTACTTTCTTTGAAGTTTAAACACCTTTGAATTAAAAAACATAACTTCCTTTGAAGTTAAACGCAATAATGCGATCTTGTGAAAATGACTTCTGGCGCCGCCCCCTCCCCAAAAAAAAAAATCCTATTCACTATGAGTTGACGTTCTTGAGAGCTGATCGGAATTGAACCCCGGAAAAACCCGTCTGTGGTTTTCTCGTTCTGGTTTTTGCTCTCTGATGTGAATGTGATTATCCAGGGATTCTTAGCCGAAATATAATAAATTTTGTTTGAGAGCAGATTGGCCTCGTGGATAGCTGTCCAGAGATGTTCTTCTCATCAGGTGGCCAAATATGCAAATATCCTTCCGTTGCCGCTACAGGGAGAGAGAATCCTTTCCCTCCCTATTTCCGGATTCTTCTACCTGCTCGCCCCTCCCATTTTTATTTTTATTTTATTTCTAATACTGTCCTCCGTCACACTCTGTCCGCCTTATCTACTGTCTCTACGCTGTTGCCTGGATTTTTTTTCTTCCTCCAATATCAAATCCTGCGTTAACCCGTGACAAAACCATATGCGAACCACATTACATCAATTATCTGCCTTTGTTTTCTATTAGAGTATAGCTTCGTCTATGGAGAGGCAGAGAAGCTTCTCCTTCAAACCCACTAGGCTTCTGGTTTTCTCGTTCACAATCTGTTCCTCTGTCGTCTTCCTTACTACTTTCGCGTTTTGGGTCAAAAAGTTCTCACCTTCAGTCCACCAGCAGACTCATGTTCAGTTCAACAGATCTCTCAGTGGCGGTGACGGACCTTTGAGCCTTCAGAACTCGACTGGTTTTACTAGAAACTTTACGGTAGATGGTGTAAAAATCCCTGCTTTGATTGAAAATCGTCGTGGTCGGTCCGATAACTTTTCTAATGGTGACAGTTATTCCGGGTCAAATTCTTCTGTGCCGGAATTTGGAGGACATGAAGCTCGTGCTTCGGTTACTAATTTCACGCCAATGCAAGATGTCGTTGCGGATGAATCTCTATCTGGGGTGGTTAGAGATAAACAGGGGAATACAATTCTTGGTTTAGATGAGAGAACTGATGGCAACAGGAAAGAAGAGTTTATTACAGCAGCTTCGTTCAAGAAGATTGAAGTTCTGGCCGGGAAGAAGATTGGGCAGAAAACAGTCAAAGGCTGTGATTTAACAAAAGGGAGTTGGGTTTTTGATGAAAGCTATCCTCTGTACACGAAAGATTCATGTCCTTTCATAGACGAGGGTTTCGATTGCTTGGGAAACGGAAGATTAGATAGCGACTACTTAAAGTGGAGATGGCAACCGCAAGACTGTGATCTTCCAAGGTACTATCAAATTCAATCTCTATATTTCTCTTCTGATTCGCGCATGTTTAGTTTTACGATGATTAAGCTGAGGAACTACTGAGCTTTGACCAAAGTGATACTTACAGGAACAAGTATTGAAGTAGTGTGTGATTTATGATAGGTTCAATGCAACAAAAATGCTGGAGTTGATAAGAGGGAAAAGATTAGTGTTTGTGGGGGATTCGATTAATCGGAACCAATGGGAATCACTGCTGTGCATGTTAACTGGTGCTATCAGAGATCCGAAGAGAGTGTACGAGACCCGTGGGCGAAAGATTACCAAAGAGAAGGGAAATTATAGTTTCAGGTTTCTGGTAATTCTAATTTCTGCTGAATCTCACTTTGTTTTTGTGTGCCCGTGGGAAGCGTATTGAGTCGTTGGACTACCCACCTCGCAGGATTACCAATGCACAGTTGAATTTTATGTGTCTCATTTCTTAGTCCACGAAAGCAAGGCAAGAATAGGGCAGAAACGGAGACCAACCTTGCGAATTGACGCCATTGATCGCGGTTCCTCAAGATGGAGAGGAGCTGATATCTTGGTTTTTAATACTGCACATTGGTGGTCACACTACAAAACAAAAGCCGGGTGAGCACCATCTTTTATCCTCTTCACTCATTAGGCCTTTGAAGTTAAATATAGGGCTCCTTCCACAAGAAAAGTGCGTTCGTTTGAGTGTCAGATTGCGTTGAAGAATCATTACTGAAATTTTGATGCCTTGAGGTTAAAAAAATATTGCAGTTGCAAAATCCTTGTCTGCTAAATGATCAGCCATAGCTGAATTACTTATTGATCTGCTCTGGATTTCATCTTTGTATTAATAACAGGATTAATTACTATCAGGAAGGAAGCCTAGTTCATCCGCAGCTAAATGTGTCAACAGCTTTCAGGAAAGCTTTGACGACTTGGTCTTCATGGGTTGACAAGCACATCAATGCCAGAAAAACCCGAGTTCTCTTTCGAAGCTCAGCACCTTCTCATTTCAGGTTTGCTTATAATTATATTATATTTGAACTGTGAAATAGTTTCTGTAATCTCCCAGACCTCTGAAATTGGACGCCTTGTTACAGGGGAGGTCAATGGAACACGGGAGGGCATTGTAAGGAAGCGACAAGTCCGCTGAATGAAACCTTAAGCACAGCTGAACCGGAGAAGAACAGAATCGTGGAAGAGGTGTTGAAGCAGATGAAAACTGGGGTGACATTGTTGGATATAACAAGGTTGTCAGGGTATAGAATAGATGGGCATCCATCTATATATGGATGGAAATCAGGCAAGAACAGTAAATCTCAGAGAATACAAGATTGTAGCCATTGGTGCCTTCCCGGGGTTCCAGATACGTGGAATGAGCTCCTATTCTATCATGTGCACGCTACATCAAAATGAGCCGTGCAAGACGGTCGCACCCCCTCAATTTATTTATTTATTTATTTTTTCAGATGTTTATTTGTACAATCCACCTCTAATTTAGACACCTATCTTCATTTGACTTTGGGCTTCTTTTTGGCATAAGTGCGCCTTATTTCTAGCATAGACATGCACCGCATGTTCTATCTCGCAAATCCAGGCAAGAATCGCATATTTTACTGGTCAACTCCATCAAAGTTCCATGGCCCATTTATTAATTAAATTAATTCGCAATTATTTGGATAGAGACGAGAGTAACGATAACAGATTATTTTTCAGATAAGATAATTAAGGCATATAACACTAGTATTTATTATATCTGTGTTATTATTATTTATCTTTATATTTATTATATGTTTGGTAGAGTATATATTTCTTTTGGATTGATTTGATTTACTTGGGTGGTTTCAAATTTACTGTTTTTTATTTGATATTTTTAAATCAGTATTTTTTATTAATATATTTTAAAATGATTATCTTAATTAAATGTACAAATAAAATAAAACTCTTTCATATTAAATTTAGTCAAAATTTCTCTCCGGCTAAAAGCATCTACATCCTTGTGTGTAAGTCTGCTTAAATACACAACAATAAAAACAAAAAAAAGACAAAGAAAGAAACTTACCTTCATATCCTTTTCTTATTTAATACAACATTGACCCTATTTTCACGAGATTTATCCATCTTCGGTTCTCCTGATATAGTTTGTTAAGACTTAAGATATTAAACTAGTATATCAAAGGTGTAATCTTTGAATAAAATAAAACTCCCCATTTTAAATTTATTCGAGATTTCTCTTCAGCCAAAAACATCTACATCCTTGTGTGAAAGCCTGCTTAAATGCGGAATTATTAAAAAAAAAACAAAGATGTAATCTGCGAGTTGTTTCTCAAAAGTTGGTTGCCCGATGCATCATCACGGAGCATCTTGAAATATGAATCTGCGCTTACTTATAGCAAAAATCATGAGCAACAACATATTAAACAGTACAATAGTTAAAATCATTATGAAGGGTATCACTGCTCTCAATATTAACATTAGAATGTTCCATCGCTTGCCCATTTTTATTGTTACTCTGAACATATGTAGGGATTACTATGTGCATTTCGAATTATTATTTTCCTCCCCTTCAGCACTATGCTATAAAATATACTAAAATACAAGCAGAAGGCAAGCCGGATGTACAATGAATATCTCATCAATGAGACTGGTGTTTTTTGGCCCTTCCTTGAGAGGCTGCCGATTCATCCCGCTTGGAAGACTCAGGTTTGCGAGCCCAAGCGGGTGCTTGATCTGGACCGTAACGATAATCATAGAACAGCTCCTCACTAGCTTCAATGTGTTCCTTGGCAAAGATGCCTACTCGATGATCCCCAGCAACCAGCATCACCTAAGCAATCACATTATGATGAGGATTGAACAATCAAGCTCATGCTTGTCAGCCTAAGAGAAAAACTCATACAACCCTCCCAAAAATTTAAGTTACTGAACTCACCTTTGCGTAACAGTTTGGATTTGATGAGTGGTTAGCAAATTTTAGTTTGTCTCCTTTGCGATAAGCATCCAGAACATACTGTGAAGATACAAGTAACAGCTTTAGGGTCATGAATATATTGCCAATGTTCAAGTCCCGGTATATTGTAGTTTGTCACGAAGGGAAGAGTGAAAAAGGGCAGCTTGGCAAAAATACAAGAGAGGCCCAATCCATGGAAGAAGATAAAGGGGTAGGTTCGGTTATGAGGACTATAAGACACTTGCCTGATCATTCAAGTCAAAAAGGAATGATGAGTTTGCACGATCATATATTTTTCCACGCTTGTCTGCTTCTCGGTGGGAGATCAGTTCCCCAGTGTATTCTCCTAGGTAGTCATTTTTGTTAACTGGATTCTGAAATGAATCCATCAATTAGCCACCAGAAAAGACTGACACTAACTAGAAAATAAACAAGTTCATGCATCTCAAGTCTCAACCTTTAAGAATGCTCCCCATCCTGCGACATCAGACTCTGCCAAAAGAATCTGACCAAGAGAAATTGAAACAAATGGAAAACAGTGTGAGACAAACATATAATTACAATGTTAAATCACAAGAAAGATGCGCGCGCGCGCATAACTTCTCATGACAAACTTCAGTTGCTAGAATCCATATGTCCTCTGATTCTGTGTCCCATCATATGGGACAGGAAGAATGACACAATGGATGTGATCTCCACACAGATGTGCCTCATCATGTAATCAAGTCACATTAAGGGTGTGATACCCGCACAGGCGGATTCCACTGGCTTCACTCATCATGTCATTCTCTCTCCCACCTAACCGGGCACAGAAGAGGAGGGGATTCAGATGACAATTACTAACCCTCTGTTGTTGCCTTAAAAGAAGCCTCATATTTCCACATTGACTATCTCCACGTCTAGGTGGCTCTCCCAGTGAACCGTCTCCACAACTGTTTAAAGAATGTGATATTCAGTGTCGTTGCAGAAGCTTAAAATAAAAACATCCAAGTTTAGATATTAAAATGCCCATGAGTGCCACCAAGAGTCAGTATTTTAACCCTAACATCGGAACCGACAGGAAGGTCACATGATGCACACGACTGTTACTGAAAAAATGACAGCCACATCAACTCCACATGTTTGGATCTTCTGACTTTTGCTTTTAAAGAGGTAGAAATTGGAATATAGAAATAATCATAGTTTAGATTTAGATCATATAAATTGGAAGCACAATGCACACATTAATTGCTAATAGATAGTGCAGTATGCATAAAAGTTGGCGAGTATACTGTAGTCAGTACTCAGTACCCCAAAGTTGTGCATAACAATAAAGGTACGGATGCGTAATATCCCAAGCCATAAAGTCAAGATCACCATACAAATGTTCAAAAATTGTTACCTAACCCAGCAGTTTCGACAAACATCTGGGTCACATTCGCGCCCAGCAGCAAAGCATGGACATTGTCGACTTCTGCATTGACTCTTGGCACAGTGGCAACCTCTGAATCGATTTTTGCAGCTTTTGGAGCACCTAAAAGTAGAAAAGCTAATTCAATACATTTGCTTGATCTGGCCAAGGAAAAAAGCAAGTGACTTGAGGCAAAATTTTCATCTTGGACAAGTCCCTACAATTATTCACGAAGTTTGAAATGTGTTTTAATTTTCTGGCCGCCGTAGCCAAATGCCAGAAAGAAATGAATTGTAGCCTGACATGCATGAATTTATTAATAGCTCGTAAACAAACAGATTTATGATCAAACGAATTTCTCCTTCATTGCTTCAAGAGTTTTTCCCCCTTTCGTTCTTTCTCTGTTTTTTCTTTTTTTGGTATTGGGAGGGCATAGGCTTAGCTAGCCATAGCTGACAGCATTTCAAGATGGTCCCCATTAGAAATCATCCTCAGGCTAGATGGCACCCAACACAAAACAATTGGGACAGACTCACACATGGACATGAGACAGATATTTCGTTGTGCATTTTGATTGATTAAAAAAAAAATTATCAACAGAAAAAATGCCATACCCACAATATTTTTCACAGCAAGTTCCATTATGAAGGCACGGGCATTGCTTTCCACACATTGATTGACATCCACAGGGTGTATATTGCTTGCAAGATTGGTTTTTTCCATCTGCAATTCTTTTCCATATTGATGGGTGGCCAGCAGATTTCCAGGAATATTTAAATTTCCTTGTTTTGCCTCTTTTCCGTATCAATCTTGCTCTGGTTGGCATCTCTTGGTCCTAAAAATGAGTACAGAAGCAATTTAATGGTGTCTAATATGCAGAGCACATAACCAAGAAGGGAACACATTGACAGGACAATAAATTTGGAAAAATATATTAATGTGCGAACCGCATCATTTATAAGCCAAGAAAGAGTACACAATGATAGGGAATCTCCTCCATGCAAAATTACTTGGATCAAATTTCATCAAGCTTCTCTAACCATGCATTACGGAGATTCCAAATCTTTTATTAAAAAAACAGAGAGAATAGGTGTTGGAAAAATAAAATCTGTTATGAGATTATAATAAATGCAGATTAAAAATCCTTTGCCACATCTTCACCAAGCACCAAGTCACTTCACTCAGCCCAGCCCATCCACCCACCCCCCCCCCCCAAAAAAAAAATCCACGACCATTCTCACGCCCAAAGTGAAAATAGAAACATCAAAGACAATGAGAATAAAATAATGTAAATATAAAAGAAGACTGGGAAAGTAAAGTTTGACACTCTCACTGTGCATTCTGCATCAGTGTTTCCGTTGTCATTCTTGAGTGAATTTGGGGGAACATTAGATCTGTAGGGCATTGATGCTCCACCAGCATGCATATAAGTAGCTACTTCCATGCAGGTCTTCAGGCCAGAAAGTAAATTCCTTGTTATCAGGCAACTGCAGAGCATGAGTTGCACATGATCACAAAGCTGACAAATTCAAATTCACAGCTCCTACATAAAATTAAGATATAGGATAGCTAATACCTGGCAATAAATCCTACTTTTAAATTTATTGTTTTATGATCCAACTATGAAGAAATACAGGTCCAAGCATTTTAAATCTTGCTTTTTTTAATCACGTGTTGGGAGAAAGCTACTCTCTAAAAGCCACTTCAAACTTCAATAGTAATCATCGACCTCAATTTAATATAGATAAGAGTTCCGTAGAACCCAAGACTATTTTGCATGTATAGAGAAAACATAAAACATTTTCATATTGAGTTCAACTATATTCCAAACTCACAAGTGCTTGGCATGTTAATTTGAATTTCACAAACTATGTCTTCAAGTAGAATACTTGCAATAGAAGCTAAACCAAGAGGACGTGTTTGTAGGATATAGAGACCAAAACAATATCGTTACATGTGGTAACATTCCCTAAAACGAAACTGACACCATCACATCATAACTCACCATAATACTAATACTCCCTCCTGTCCTTTTTATAATAGAATTTTGGGGAGGGTTCTGATGGTTTTATTTATAAGAAGCAACCTATTGTTTGGAGCATTTATTACAAGTTTCCTTTTTTACCCTCATTAATAAGATCAATTATTAAAAACCAATAAAATTATTAAATGAGGACATCAAAAGAGACAATTTTACATTCGGAACATATTTCTTGAA